TCTACCCTATTGTAATGTTCTACATAAGAGCTGAGAGAATGAGCGTCTGTCTCTTTTTTGAGCCAGTGGAAATGTTGCTCTATTGTCAGCTTCAGCATCCCCACTGAGCAAGGTATGACCTGCTATGTCTTCCCTAGATTTTCTGCCTTTTTTTCTTTGACTAATGGAAAACAAAGCTTTTCCCAAGGATTCCAAATCAAGCCCTCAATCAAAGTCTTAATTGGCAACACAAAGCACCGCCGCTGGGTGCTGGACTATGTCCAAAGGGGATTTTGTTCTTAAGCACTAGGCTGAAAAACCCCAGAGAAAGAAAACAAACACATACCTATCCACACACCACATGCGCCCCAACTCATTTAATTTGGAACTCTGATTACAGAAAAATTCCTACGTGATTGTAAACATATTTGAAATTACTTGGAAGTTATTTTAATCCTAATATTCAATTGCCCAGCTAGCTCCCTTCTGTTTTCAAAATTCTCTCCTAATGAGAGTTCTATAGGAACTTTACCGCAGAGTAACAATTAGAAGCTACTGTCTGTATTTCTAGTTTCCAAATGGATGGGAACTCTCATCTGTGGAAGCCCATAAAGGCCAGAAAGAAAAAAGTTAAAAAATGACTTGCGACATTCTCAATTCAAAACCCCTGGGTTTTGGACACTCAATCTATATAACTACGTACTCTGAGTTAGCAGCTATATGCTGACAATAATTTTATTCCTGTGGTTAGATTCAGAAAATAGTTCCTCAGGCTTATCCTACCAAGAACAAACGTTTCAAATGTTAGAACTAAAAATACAACCTTTCAAGAATTCTAACAATCATGCCAATTAATTCTTTGAGGTCTAAGAAGAGCTTAAGCAGTTCAATTAAGTTACAGGCATTATTGGACTACTGCGACATTACCTTGGACTTCTACAAAATCAAAGACAACAAGCATGCGTGATGTATGCTCTCAGGATGAAGCAAATGAACTAAACCCAGAAATTCTATCTACGTTTTAATTCTTTCACTTTTTGCTCTAAAAAATGTTTTAAATTTACATTGCAAATATAAAAGGTATTAAGTATAAAATATTTTTTGAAGGATAAAAGGGCAATTTTTCATTTCTTCATTAACTATAGGCCTACCTCATGTTCTGTTTCAGATCACTATAAAAAAAGTGAAGGTCCCAATGAAGCAAGTCACACCAATGTTCTGGTCTTCCAGTGCACATAAAAGTTACCTTTATACTGTACTTTATACTGTACTCTATCAAGTATGCAACAGCATTATGCCTTAAAAGCAATGCATGTGTATAGACTTTAATTTAGAAAAAAAAATTATTGCTAAAAAATGCTATCAATCATCTGAGCCTTTGGGGAGTCGATTCTTTTGCTGGTGAAGGGTCTGGCCTCCACGCTGATGTTGCTGACTGAACAGGCTGGTGGTTGCTGAAGGCTGGCATGGCTGTGGACATTTCTTAAAATAACAGTGAAGTTTGCAGCATCAAATAACTTCCTTTCACAAACATTTCCTCTGTAGCATGCACTGCTGTTTGAAGGCATGTTACTCACATTAGAACCTCTTTTGAAAATGGAGTCAATCCTCTCAAACCTTGCCATTGCTTTATCAATTAAGTTTATATACTATTCTAAATCGTTTGTTGTCATTTCAAGAATGTTCATAGCATCTTTTTTTTTTTTTTGAGACAGGAGACTCAAGCTGTTCCCCTGGGTAGAGTGGATGGCATCACAGCTCACAGCAACCTCTAACTCCTGGGCTCAAGCGAGTCTCCTGCCTCAGCCTCCTGAGTAGCTGGGACCACAGGCACTCGCCATAATGCCCGGCTATTTTGTGGTTGCAGCCATCATTGTTGTTTGGTGGCACTGGACTGGATTGGAACCCACCACCTTGGGTGTACGTGGCTGGCACCTTAGCCGCTTGAGCCACAGGCGCCGAGCCTGTTCATAGCATCTTAATCAGGAGTATATTCCATTTCAGCAAACTACTTTCTTTCCTCATCCATAAGAAGCAACTCCTTATCCACTGAAGCTTTATCATGGCAATTCAGTCACATCTTCAGACTCTTCTTCTAATTCTAGTTCTCTTGCTGTTTCTACATAGGCCGTTACTTCCTCCACTGATGTCTCAAAACCCCAAAGTAATCCAGGAAGGTTGGAATCTTCTAGACTCCTGTTAATGTTGATATCTGATATTCCCTTCTTCTTAACAACATCTAGAATAGATGATTTCAAGTGACTTTGTCCAGATTCATCAGAGGAATTACTATCTATGGCACCTATACCCTTATAAAATATATATTTAAATAATATGACCAGAAAGTCAAAATTACTTCTCAATCCACTGTAACAATTGTTATTGTATTAGCAGGCAGGAAAGCAACATTAATCTCCTTGTGCATCTGCATCAGAACTTTGGGTAACCAGGTGCACTGTCAATGAGCAGTCATATTTTGAAAGGGATCTTGATCTTGTTTTCTGAGCAGTGGGTCTCAACAGTGGGCTTAAAATATTTAGTAAACCATGATGTAAATAGATGCACTGTCATCAGGCTTTGTTATTTCATTTATAGAGCAAAAGCAGAGTAGATTTAGTATAATCTTTACAGGCCCCAGAATTTTCAGAATGTCAATAAGCACTAGCTTCAACTTAAAACCATCAGCTACATTAGCCCCTAACAAGAGAGTCAGACTGTCCTTTAAAGCTTTGAAGCCAGGCGTTGACTTCTGTCCAGCAATTAAAGCCCTAGATGGCATCTTCTTCCAATAGAAGGAGGCTATTTTGTCTACACTGAATGTCGTTGAGCAAAGCCATCTTCAGTTACCCTAGACAGATCATCAGGATAACTTGGTGCAGCTTCAACACCAGTACTTGCCACTTCATTTGTACTCTGATGTTATGGAAATGGCTTCTTTCCCTAAAGCTCTTGAACAAATCTCTGCTAGCTTCAAATTTTTCTCTGCAGCTTCTCCACCTCTCTCAGCCGTCATAGAATTGAAGAGAATCCTTGCTCTGGATTAGGTTTTAGCTTAACGAAATGTAATGGCTGGTTTGATCTTCTATTCAGACCACTGAAACCTTCAGCAATAAGGCTGATTAGCTTTCTTATTATTCATGTGTTCGCTGGAGTGACACTTTTAATTTCTTTGAAGAACTTTTCCTTTGTAGTCACAACTTAACCGATCAGTGCAAGGGCCTAGCGTTTAGCCTAACTTAGCTTTTGACCTGCCTTTCTTGCTAAGCTTATTTCTAGATTTTGGCTTAAAGTGCGAGATATGGAACAATTATGAAGTTCTAAAAAGCAATGCAAAACCACTTTTCTTAAAGTTCACAAAAAATAAACACCTGAAACTCTGACGAAACAATGAAAATCTGCTTGGTGAGAGGCAAGTGTTTATTATGTATAAACACTCCATATATTTAAAGATGTCATAAATTTGTTTTATATAGCTGCTGCCTCAGCATCCATTTTTAGGCCTGACATAGTTGTCTGAAACCCAGTCACACCTCATTACCTTTGGCCTAGTTAAAGCTCCTCCTCCCCATGGGTTGGTTGTCATATAGCCTACTTGTTCCTCATTGCAGTGACCCCAAACCCAACATACCCCACAGCTGCTGTCAAAGATAAACCCTAATGGTCAATGCTAGAATCAAATGTTTCCCACTTTGTACATTTTTCTTCAAATTAGCCAATCCACAAAGCCCTTGGGAAAGCCTAAGGGATAACACCCTTAGACCTTCGTGAAGACTAGTCCACAGGTCCTCACTCTTTTCCCCTCTTTCTCTCTCACTCACCTCTGGTCAAGCATTCTGCTGTCAGCCCTCGTGGGAACCCCCCTTCTCTGGTGGCTATGTGAGTAATAAACTGCTCCTGTTATTTCACATGTTTTGTTGAGTTGCTTCCTCTGTGTCTTACCTGACTGACACACCTGCCCCTAACTGCTTTCCCAGAGCTCTTCTAGAGAGTGAATCTGTTGGTGAGAATAAACTGGATGCAGATCAGATAAGAGCCACAAGGGTGTACGACAGTATAAATGAGTTTCCTGGGAGAAGGATACTCGGCCACAGGCTGGACACTCGGGCATTAGGCTGTCAGCCATGGTAACTGACAGTGCTGTGAAAGGCACACTGTAACACTTGTGACCACCTCCACTGGAGCCCTGTCAGGGCTTTCCAGAGAAAAACCTCAAATCAGAGAAAAACACAACAAAAGGGAAGACAGGATTGGTAGATTTTCATTCCAAGTCATAAACCAGCATCAAATGAAGCACTTAACTCTTACACCCCCACCATGTATTCTCAGTACCCGGCAGAGCATACACATGCCCTATACCCACAGCACCTACAGGCAGTTAGTTCTATGACCTCTAAAAGTTCCACTATATTCTAAGAGCAAGACCATGAGGTATAGTTGTGGAAGAATTTCTTTAAAGCTTTCTAACCTACAGAACCATTGGTATTTAGTTTTCAGAGCCAAAAATTTAGAATGGCTATAAAATATAAAATTTCGATATGATAATTATGAAATAATAGAAAAGCTAAGAGCAAACTGTGCTTTGATAGACAACATCAATATCTAAACTCCACTGTTAGGTACAATTTAAAAGTATGAGCTCATCCAAATTTTATAGATAAAAATTAAGTTTGCTATGGCAATCTAAACTTTGTGATGTTCTAGGTATGTTCTTGGGGACAGCATATTCATTTTCACCTAGTTTACACTCACACTGTTGTTTTTATTCAAAAGAGAACTTTAAGTAAAAATACAAAATGGCACACGGATGTTTTGGCCAATGAGATTTAAAGACAGTGTGATTACATTTAAAAGAAGAAGAATATTAAATTTACCCAGTTCTTGTTATGCTGACATACTAAATGTTAGATTTTAATAAGTTTTAATTCAGATGAAATAAAGTATCATATAAAGAAGACAGACTCATTTTAAAATCTAAGAGAGAACTGCTTTTAGAATTTATTGAAGGCCTTTATTTGGCCCACCTTTTGGTTGCTGGCACAGTGGTTTCTTTCCTGACCCCAGAAGGGGATGGTAGGGAACCGCTGGGCTTCTTTGGTAACACAGTGCCGTTGTTGACAGTGGTTCTTAAAGGCAGGGTCTGCATCAGGGGTCTTGCTGTAAGACAAGCAGAAAAGGAAATCAGAATCTTCCCCTTTGCTGCGGTAGCACTTTATAGAACTTAAGCTACAATAGAAAGAAAAAGAATATCAATTTTAGGCTGCTAGCAGAACAGACAAATGTCCCAAAGGTAATTCCATAGAGAAAGGATCATCTCTTCAACAAATAGTGCCTGAACAGAGAACCTAGACATCAAACTCCCACCCTACGCAAAAAGTAACCCAAATGGCCCACAGACCTAATGAAAAATGCAAAACTATAAAACTTCTGGAAGGAAACAATCTTCTATTTAATGATAAATGTCTAGATATAATACTAAACTTCTGGAAGGAAACAATCTTCTATAAAATGATAAATGTTTAGATATAATACTAAACTTCTGGAAGGAAACAATCTTCTATTTAATGGTAAATGTCTAGATATAATACCAAAAGCACAGTCCATAAAAGAAAAAAAATTAATAGCTTGGACTTCATTATAATTTTTTAAAATTTATGAAAGGCACTTTAAAATACAAGGCATAGGTTGGGAGAAAATACTTGCAAATCATATATCTGATTAAGAACTTGTATACAAAATATGAAAAGAACTCTTAAAATTCAGCAGTAAGCCCAATTAAAAAATGGGCAAAAGATCTGAAAAGACACCTCACCAAAGAAGATATACAGATGGCAAATAAGCATATGAAAAGATGCTCAACACATCATTTGTCATTAGGGAAATGCAAATTAAAACAATAATGAGGTACCTCTATACACCTATTAGAATGGCTAAAGTCCAAAACGCTGACAAAATACCAATTGCCAGCCAGGATGTGGAGCAACAGGGAGTCTCTTCCTTAGTTGCTGGTAGGAATGCAAAATGGCATACTACTTTGGAAGACAGTTTGGCAGTTTCTTATAAAGCTAAACATAGTCTTACATATGATCTGGCAATTGTGCTGACACTAGGTATTTACCCGATTGATCTGAAAACTTATGTCTACACAAACCTGCATGTAAATATTTATATCAGCTTTATTTATAATTGTCAAAAACTGGAAGTGATCAAGACATTGACAGGTAAATGGATACCACTGACAGGTAAATGGATAAACAAACTTGTTCAATCACACAATGGAATAAGACTCCTTGATAGAAAGGAATGAATCAGTTCTCACAAAAACAGGGATTTGTCTTAAATCCACATTGTTGAGTGAAAGAGGCAAGTCTGAAAGGCTACAAGTTGTATAATTTCACTTTTTTTAAACTCTAGAAAAGGCTATACTAAAGACAGAAAACAGACCAATCATTAGGGAAATGCAAATTAAAACAATAACCCCTGTTGCCAGAGGTTGGGGGTAGGGCCCCATAGGAGATTTTCTTTCTTTCTTTCTTTCTTTTTTTTTTTTTTTTGTAGAGACAGAGTCTCACATTATCGCCCTTGGTAGAGTGCAGTGGCATCACAGCTCACAGCAACCTCCAACTCCTGGGCTTAGGCGATTCTCTAGACTGAGCCTCCAGAGTAGCTGCGACTACAGGTGCCTGCCACAACACTCGGCTATTTTTTTTGTTGCAGTTCGACCGGGATGGGTTTGAACCCGCCACCCTTGGTATATGGGGCCGGCACTCTACTCACTGAGCCACAGGTACCACCCAGCACAGGAGATTTTCAAGGGTGATGAAATTATTCTGCCAGATACTGTGGGATAGACACGTGACACTATGCATCATCAAAACCCACAGACTCTATAGTACAAAGAGTGAACTTCAACGTATGCAAATAAAAACCATCTGGGAGTTGGGAAAACTTCATGGTATCACAGAAAATGAATTGTGACAAAGAGTCTACCTGTATCTCAAGTACGTGACATCACCTCACTGAAGGTGGGAGTGGGGGAGAAGGTGCTGACCTTCTCGAATAATTCTGGAAATGAGTTGAGACTGTATGATTAAAGACAACAGAAACCTCATATAAGCACTGTATTCTAGTTGGCAAAGTTGTTTACCATAAGCATAGAGGTTAACAATGCTGAAACCACTGTACATGAGCACTGGAACAGAACAGTGAAGCAGATGGATGAAGAGAGTGGTGAGGAAGGAGCCAGGTATCTCACTTCCCAGGAGAGGGAGGTGTCAGTATGCAGGTGGGATGGGGAGAGGAGAAAGAGCCACAGATTATGGATTAGAGCAGGACACATCGGTGTGGACTCACATTTACCTTCACACAGACACATCTGTAATTGCAAATATGTAGGTATACACAGGTTAGGATAAACACATACATTCATAAGCTCTATCTGCTAAAAGGGCCCAAAAGCAACAACCTCCCAGCGCCCTTCTCAGACTCTGATGCCATTCTACAACAAAAGGAACCAGGCTCCCTGGGGAAATGGATGAGTGGGAAATATACCAAGTGACTCTGGAACGTTTCTTAGTGCCAGAAAGTAAAGATGTACTCCGACAAGAACAAAACCAAAAAACACTGTATTGAGACCGCAAGTCAAGGGGACACAGGAGCCAACTGGAAGAGGTCCCAAAGGCCCAAGCTTGAGCAACTTAAGCAACACAACAGATAACATAATACTGGATTACAATCAAAGTATAAAATGGGTATCTCTAAATTCATACTGATATAAATGACTGAATAAGTAAACAAATGAATACACAAGTCCCCATGTAGAAGTATTCTGAATAATTTATGTAGCTACTCTGCCCTCAAGAAGGTAGAGCACGATTCCTCACTCCTAAGTGTGGGCAGCACACAGTGGCTGCCTTCTAAACGGGGACGTAGTAAGAAAGATGGGGGTGGGGTAGGGAGAAGTAACTTTACAGAGGAGAAACCTGAGCAACAGTTCCTCAGCCAGGTGATCAAGGTCCATATCCACAATGGTAAGTCATGTTGACAGAACATACCCATGACGTGATGATATGACATGATGAGAATGACACTTTACCTCTGTGGTCATCCTTCCTAAACCCCATAACATTAGTCTATCATGAGAAACCCAAATTGAAGGATAATCAGATCCTCAAATGTGGCCCCTTGATTGAATCCGAACTTCACAGAACAAATCCCTTTATTAAGAACTAGTTAAAAGGCTGCACTCAAGGATCCAGAAGGCCATCTGTGGCTGTAAGACCGCAGGTTCCCTACCCCTAACAGTATTCCTCTAAACTGTCAAGGTCATCAAAACCAAGGATAATTGTCTAGAGGAGACTGAGGGGACATGATAACTAAATACAATGTGGTATCTTGGATGGGATCTTGGAACAAGAAAAAAGGACCTTAGGGATAAACAAAGGAAATGTGAATAAAGTATACCCATTAATTAGTAATAGTGTATCAAGGGCGGTGCCTGGGGCTCAAAGGAGTAGGGTGCCGGCCCCATATACCAGAGGGTGGTGCCAGCCCCAGCCAAAAACTGCAAAAAAAAAAAAAAAAGGATAATAACAATAATAATAATAGTGTATCAATACTGGTCCATTTATTGTGACAAATGTGCCATACCAATATAAGATGGTAATATGGGGAAACTGGGTCCAAGGTACATGGGAACTGTTTGTATCTGTAACTTTTCTATAAATCTAAAACTGTTCTCATATGAAGTTTATTTTAAAATGCTAGCAGAATTTATTTTATTCATCACAAATTTAAATCTGTCTCCATTTAGGCTCTTCAAAACATTGTCAACTACAAAACTACATATAGTGTCAAATTTTAAAGACACTAGAGCTTTTTACTCCTTAATGCTGAGGGCCAGCTTTCCTTCTTTTTCTATTGCAAAAGAAAGTGAGAAAAGCCACAGTCAGCCCCTCCAGCCAGAGACCACGAGCCCCTTCTCAACTCCTCCCAAAGCTCTCTTTTCTTTTTCTTTCTTTCTTTTTTTTTTTTTT